GCTGTGGCTCTATTTCTCTTGCTGGGTGGTGGTTATGTTGGTATTTGCCTTATAATAATTTGTTAAGCTGTACATTCATTGTTCATGCACTCTTCTGTGGATTTGTTAGTTTTCATAATTTAAAACAAAAGTTTAACAACAATCCCTCCACCAAGCAGAACTCCTGGAGCTGATTTTACAAGATGTGAGACTGAACAGTTCAGATTCCATTTCTCTCTCCTTCCTTCACCTTTCACCTTTGATGGAGTTTCCATTCCTACATCCTCCTATGTACCCGAGGTGAGGGTACACACATGTGCCTGCTTATACTGCCAAGCACTGATCTTACTTTGGGCAAAATGCCCCTCCAATCTGACTCCCTTTATTTTGTCTGACCTCCAAGGAACTCCCCGTGGGATTCAAGAATACCCCAGGATCAGGAGCAAAATTTTACTTCCACTTCTCCTGCACAGCCAGTCTGGAGAGGCAGTGTTTTTTCCATTTACCTAACATTCTGCCTTTTCAATTACTGAAGACTGTAGACAGAGTCAGACAGAATCAGTCAGTACAAACCAGGACACAGGTAGTTAGACTTCAAGCTGAGATACCATGCTATACTCTATGGGCTCAGAAGTCTGTGACCCACTGGAAGATTCTAGTGTCACACCACAGCACCCTGGAGGAGTCACCCTGGGCACCTCAGACTGCCTCGTTCTGGGAAATCACTCACTGACCTAAGACTGAGCTTTGTCCCTAGATGGGAACTTCACTAATACAGCCATGGTTCTGCCCAGAAATTCCCTTGGAAGAGCTATTGTTGTAAGTTCTGGTGAGGGAAAACTAATGATTGCAAGGCAGATAGCAATGATTCAAGGAAAATGGCAGGGTTGACTAGAAAGAGCCCTAGACCAAGCACCAGAATGCCTGAGCTCAGCCCTATACTTCCTAGCACCATAATCTTAGGCAAGTCACCTAACTTCCTCAGGCCTCATACTCTGCCCTGCTCACAGGAACAAGTGGCCTAATATATATGGAATGCTTTAAAAAGAGTAAAATGCTATACACATATAAGGGATTAATATTTTTATAAATGGATTTTGCTACTGAACATACTGTAGTTTTGAAAGAGATGTAACTAAAAATCCCAGCAATCATGTGATTGCACACAAGACATCATTATGCAAAAGCAGTGGCATTGCACCAAATGCACCCACACACCTATCCATTGTTAGCAAGGAGGGCTCAGCTGGACAAAGATGTAAAACAGGTGATGGCCCTTGAAAAGTCCAGCCCATGGCCTTCCCAGACTGAGTGCCTGACCTGGCCCCAAGGAGCTCTATGTTGTATCCTGGGCTATCTTTTCCAGGCTGCGTTCACCAGAGAGAATGAGAACCAGGTGGCTGCCAAGGTTGGGAGAAAGCAGAAAAGGTGGCTGCCATCCCTCAGTTCCTGTGGAAATGCAATCCTCTTATAAAGAGGCATGGGAAGTTTGGACATTTCTGGGGCCAAGGGAAACAGAGGTTCTTTATAGTGTTGGATCCTGATTTAATTCTTTTGTAACTATTCTGAAAGGACCAGAAAGTGGTTTTAAATATGAGATGTCCCAAGACTACATGAAGTTGGTGGGTAGGCTATGCCCCATTGGTATTGGGATGGTGTCAGCCATTCCCAATCTCATCAAATAGCTGTTGACATTGGGAAAGGAGACTCAAGGTGCCAACGGCCTGGTTGTCTCAGGGAGCCTCAATTTGACCATCCTACAAAGCTGAGTTCTCTTATCACACCTTGGGAACTGAAGTAACTGTGGACCTACCAACCATCCCAGAGAAAATGGCCATACTCAAAAAATACTTCATCACACCACTGGAGGAGCCAAGCCTTAGGGTGTATGGAGAAGAAACTGGTGCTCACTTGCTGGGAACATTTTTAGGAGCAGAAACAGTGTGCTGAAACTAATTCTCGCAACTACAATATGTTGTCATCTTTGTCCCAGCTTGCTTGGCAAATCAGCTTTGGACTGTTTGTACCACTCACTCCTTGGCTATAGCCCAAGCACCTTGTTTTAGTTAACTGTTTTAAAGTATTTTCATGATTAGTTCACCTTTTACCCCTCAACACAGGTCCTTGGATGGTACAAACAGTTAATGTGCTCAGCTGCCAATTGAAAAGTTGGAAGTTTCAGTCTATGCAGAGGCACAGTGGAAGAAAGGCCTGGCAATCTACTTCTGAAAAATCAACCACTGAAAACCCTGTGGAGCACAGTTCTACTCTGACACACAGGGGTTCTCCATGAGTTAGGATCGATTGGACAGCAACTGTTTTGTTTTTTCTTTTTGGTACCTCCTCAGTAATCCTGCAAACTAGGTAGGCTACCACTCCTACTTTAAACCAAACCCACTGCTGTTGAGTTTATTCCGACTCATAGCGACCCTATAGAACACAGTGGAACTGCCCCATAGGATTTCTGGAGCTGTACTTTTTTTTTTAAGGCTGTAATTTTTTTACAGCAGACTGCCACATCTTCCTCCTGCAAAGTTAGTGGCCATGTGCTTCACTGTAACACCAGAGCTATTCCATTGCTACTTTAAAGGGGGTGAAAGTCAGACTCAGATGTGATCTGCCCCAATATGTTCTTTCCTGATCCCTAGTCCAGTGCTCTCTCTGCTACAAACTAGGACATTTACCTTTTTTCACATCCTACATCTACTAACACACTTGTCAGGGAACCTTAGCTCCTCCATGGTAGACTTCCAAAACCCACTTTTTCATGAGGAATATTGATGTATTTATAGTCACTCTGTTATTACATTTACCAATTATAGGAACACTCTAAAAATTAATGAAACAGCTTTCTACTTGAAGCAGCAGCTCTTTGAATCACTGCCTCAGTTATTACTCCAGGAACTAGATGCCAGTCAAAGGAACATACCCATAAGCTTCTTACCAATAAGGATGAATGATGATTCTTACTTTTCTGGAGACTGAATTATTTCTTATTTCTATGTTAAAGGGTTACAGCAACAAAATTTAATATCAACATTGATGTCGTGTCTGGAACAACTTCTATGTCCCATTGAACACGACTAAGATTAAAACTATACACCAGCTGTACACCTCCCTGGAACCCAGTCAGAATAATGTGGTATTTCTGTCTGTGAATATTACTTATTGATTCATTACCAGTGTGTGTGTGTGTGTGTGTTGTGGTGGGGGTAGTGATGAGGTTGAGCTGTTTTCCAAAAGGGAACATTGTTTAATAATACAGTAAAATCTGCAAAAGCCAGAACCTTTGTAAGGCAAAAATATGTCAGAGAAGGAAAACTCAAAATATTTTCCACTAAAAAGAGAAATAGAAAAGTGGTAACACTGAACACTGTTAAGGGTGAAAACTTGTAAGACTCGGAAAAATAAGGTAATCAAGTTCCAGCTCTCACAGTTCTCACTGTAATAATGTTTATCTGTTCTTAATCCAAAATAGATTTGAGATACATTACCTTCCCCCCAACATATATTGTTGTTGTTGTTATATGCCATCGAGTCGGACTCGACTCATATCGACCCCTCCTTGGGTTTCCAAGAGTCTCTATATTTAAAATTCAAAAATAGATACAACTATTATATTTAGAGATGCACCCTCAGATTGTAAAATTAAGAATAGCACGAAAGATTAACAAAACAGGACAGTGGCCACCTGGCTGGTGGGGTGTTGTGAGTAGGAAAGGGTACATGAGTGGCTCTTAGGGTGTTGATGTGACTCTACTTTTTGAGCTGGGTGGTGGTCACGTGAGTGTTTGTTTTATAATAATTTGTATTTTCACAAATTATTTGTACTTGCAAAAATTTGTATTTTCACATACACACACAGCATAGACATATACACACACAAAGGCATGCACCAGGACAGTTTGAAAAAATAAAAGCAAAACAAGAAATTAACAACCATATGCCTAGGAAGAAGATGACTCCATCTTAAAACCAGAGGTAAGATGCTTATTATCAAACTTTTACATTTCATTTAGTGCTGAGTTCCCTGGAACTCAAGGTAAAAATAGAAATACATTGGTTATGTGGTATGGGAGTATATATGTGTGCATGTGTGTGTACATTGTTGTTGTTGTTGTTATGTGCCGTCAAGTCGGACCCGACTCATAGTGACCCTTCCTTGGGTTTCCGAGGCAGTATCACTACAGAAATAGATTGTCCCATCTTCCTTCTGAGGAGTGGCTGGTGGGTATGAACCACTAGCCTTCTGGTTAGCAGTCTAGTGCCTTAGGTACTACGCTACCAGAGTTCCCTGTGTGTACATATATGCATATATATACACCTATACACATACATATGAAAACCAAACTAGGGAGCTCTGGTAGCATAGTACCTAAGGCGTTTGACTGCTAACCAGAAGGCTGGCAGTACAAACCCACCGGCCACTCCTCAGAAGGAAGGTTGGGCAATCCACTTCCGTAGCGATACCCCTTGGAAGCCCAAGGAGGGGTTGCTATGAGTCAGATCCAACTCCACAGCAGTGGGTTGGTTTTTTTTTTTTTAAACAAAACAAAACAAAAAAAAAACACTCACTGTCATGGAGTCAGTTCCAACTCATAGCAACCCCCTTTGGGTTTCTGAGGCAGTGAATCTTTACAGAAGTAGACTGCCCAGTCTTCCTTCCAGGAAGAGGCTGGTGGGTTTGAACTGCAAGCCTTCTGGTTAGCAGTCAAATGCCTTAGGCAGTATGCCACCAGAGCTCCTTATACATACATGTATACATAGTATATACATACATATATGTGTGTGTGTGTGTATACACACACACACACACATATATGAAGGTAGTAAAACCAACAATTTGGTAGGATTTTTGAGTGAATGTTTATGTTTATTTTTCCTTTCCAGAGAATAGAATGGGTTAAGTCTAGTAAGGGTGAACTTATTTTCTGAAAAAATATTGTTGGAAGTTTGATTCACTCTTGGGCCTGATCAAGACAAAAAGATATGGAAACCCAGACACCCAGACTCTTCCTTACCTCTTCCAGCTTATCCACTCGCCCCACCAGTTTGGTGGTGACCGAATGCAACTTCAAGAGGTCCAGGCCATAGAAAGCTCCTTCTAGCATGTCAATGATGGTGGAGAGCTATGAAACAAGGCAGAGAGTTAGCCCAGGGATGGGGCAGAAAGACCACAGAGAGAGGAGTTTCCTTTCAGACCTCCATCTTTGGAGGCTCCACAAGGAAACCACTAGCCAGGAATTGAGAGATAGGCCCTAGGAAACTGGCATTAGTGTAAGTGGTCACAGAGACAAGCACAATGGTATAGCTGTATTCTGCCTTCCAGAATAGTTGGGTAAGATAATGGGAGAGTCCTGCAAGAACAAGTAAAGTCTGAAGTCTAGACATCTTCACCAAATTGTTATTGTTTTGGGTGCTGTCAAGTGGATTTTGAGTCATAGTGACCCCATGTGACAGAGCAGAACTGCCCCTTGGGCTTTTCTAGACTGTAATCTTGAGGGGAGCTGATCACCAGGGCTCTTCTCCTGTGGGGCCACTGAGTGGGTGGAAACCACCAACCTTTCAGTTAGTAGCCAAGTGCTTAACCATTGCATCACCAGGACTCCTTCCAAACTGATTATACATCTTTCATTAAATCTATTAACTGCATACATGTTTCTTTCCTACTACACTGTGATTTCCTTGAAAGTAGTGCCTATTCATCTTTGTTTCCTCAAGATACCTAGCACAGTACCTGGCCTATAATAGGTAATCTATAAATACTCAACAAATTGGCTTATAAACTTCACTACCTTGAGGATATGCTTCTGAAACACTCAACTTCATTGTCCATTGAAGGCTAACAGGTTTTTCCTTAGTATTAATAGCTAAACTGACTCTGAGGTAAAAAGAGACCCAATGACCCAACTCTGAGGTTGCCACAGGGCACCCAGATCTTCTCAGTTTTTTCAATACTGTCCTCCTTTCCAGTACAGAGTCCCTAGGAGGAAGGTGGCTGAGGCTCTGGTGGCATCCAGGGCATTCAGAGTACAAGCAAAGGGGTGAGATGCGAGATGCTTAAACTGAGCCTCCCTGCCACAGACCCGTCCCTTGGCAGGGACTTTCAGGATCTCTGCTCCCCACTAATCTTCCAGCATTACTTCCAGATGAAGACTCTCATGTATGAGATTCTTCCCCACCAAAGGAAGATAGTCAAATCCTGGGTAAGAGCCAGGGTAGCTTGGTTAGTTTGTACTGTGATGATTTTCTGATTCCTAAAAGAAATTTTTGCCTGCTGTTATTCCAAAAGCCCCCAAGAGTTCAATCATATCAGTGGGTAACTGTGGTACTTGGTTCAGAAACCAGGTTCATGGCAGAGCTGCAGTTCTGAGTGAAGTGGCCAAGTCCTGGGGCCACTGTTGTACTGGTAAAAACAATTCTGTTTAAAGACATTAAAGTGGCTACCAGTCACTGAGTGTGTATCAAGTGCCAGGACCAGCACTGGTGCTTACAAGACCAGTCATTCATGTAACTTATATTTATTGAGTCCTAACTATATGTCAAAGGAACTCAGGCAGTGCAGTGGCTAAGGCATCTGGCTGCTAACCAGAAGACTGGTGGTTCGAACCCACCAGCTACTCCGTGGAAGGAAGATAAGGCAATTTACTTCCACGAAGATTTACAGCCTTGGAACCCCGATGGGGTCACTATGAGTTGGAATCAACTTGAGAGCAGTGGATTTGGTTTTATTTTTGGTAACTATATGTCAAAGAACCCTGGTGGCACAACGATTAAGTGCTCAGCTACTAACCGAAAGGTCTGTGGTTCAAACCTACTTAGTGGCTCCTCAGGAGAAAGACCTAATGTGCTGCTCCCGTAAAGATTCAAACCAAAAACCCACTGTCATCGAGTTGATCACAACCCATAGTGATCCCCACTGGGTTTGCAAGGTGATAAATCTTTACAGAAGTAGACTGCTTCATCTTCCTCTATGGAGCTGCTGGTGGCTTTAAACCACCAACCTCTGCTTAGCAATCAAATGCCTTAGACACTGCAGCCTAGAAAACCCTATGGGGTAGTTCTACTCTGTCACATGGGATCCCTATGAGTAAAAATTGACTCAATTGCACCTAACAACTACAATTATATGTCGAGGCATTGTGCCAAGTACTCAATAGTTGTCATCTCACTGATTCTCAAAACAACTCCAAAAGGTAGATGTTATTTCTACATTTTTTTCAAGGAAACTGAGGTCAAACAAGTTAAATAACTTAAGTAGGATTACTCAGTAAGTGGTAGCAGAGCAACAATTTGAACCCAATCTGTCAGACTTCAAAACAAAGCTCATTCCACTACACCACACTGCAAATGAATGTGAACGTGCAGGATCATACAAAGCCCTAAGCCAACAAACAGGGCTGCCCCAGGTGAGGCCTGAGATACCCCACCCTGTGGAGCATATCATAGGCTGATGACTGGGCCTAAAGCAGGCCTCAGTCTACGTGGGCCACCCCTGTCTAGTGTTGAGGACTGCAAGTTCATTCCTCTCTGTATATCTCTCATCTTTTCAGGGTGCATGCTGGGCTGGCAGCAAATCATAGCAGCTCTTCTAGAGAATATCAAGTTCTTTTGGCTGGCTGGGCCTTGCAGCTGCTCACAGGCCTGGCATCCCTGGCTTCATAAGGAGAAGCAGGCTACTTTGCTCTCAACATCCACCCCAGACACAGAGCTGCAAATGACCACTTTACCAGATTATCAGCTTTGAATTCACACACAACATGCTAGGGACCAAGGCCTGGACTCCTATTCAAAAGTCTTATGGTCTCCAGCAATGCCTCTGCTGGACTCGTGGGTCCTGAGCATCTCACCCATGGTAATGACCCATACCAGCCTACCTTCAAGTCATGGCTATCTGCTTCCCGTAGTTTCTGCAGCCTGAAGTCTCCCTCACAGGGATTGAGGGCAGAGGGGGGCGCAACACAGGCACACTTGCAAGAAGAGCCTGAAGTGATGGTCTCTACTGTGTAGAAATCTTCCTTCCTGGAGGTCCCCTCATTGATCCTCTGGCAGGCATCTCGTCCCAGGGGTCTCACCACACACTTGCACTGACAGTCTGAGCCCTCTGACACAGCCTTGACTTTGTCATAGTCCCCCAGCAACTGAATGGAGAGAGAGAGAGAGAGAGAGAGAGAGAGAGAGAGAGGGTTGAGGATATGCAGGCACAAGCATCAGTCAGGCTCCTGAAGAAGGTTCACCATGTACTCTGCCAAACGTCCTGCACTAGCCAGAGACCTTAGGCAACTGTGAACCATGGAGTGAACAGGTCATCGCAACACAATTTGCTGACTCTGACATTTCCTTGAAGGCACTCAGAGTTCAGCTCTCTTGGTTTATCTTGGAAAGCTGTAGATTTCTCCAGGGGCCTTAGCCTTTCATCATTTAAAGGTAAAAACAGATGAGATCCATCATTCCTTCAATAACCCTTGCCTTTGTTACAATCCAGGTTTGGATTAAAAAAGAGAAAGGAGCAGTGGTTGAAGGAGGGACTGGAACATTGATAATCAAGATAGAAGACCTGCTTCTATCCTCATTCATTCATTTAACATTTATTGAGTTCCACCCATGTGCCAGACTGTGCTAGGTGCTATCAGAGGTACAGAGATGGGGTCAACAGAGAGCGTGCCCTCCAGCAGCTTACAGTGCCAGAGGTACACACAACAGTCATGCAAAGTAGAGAGTGGTAAGTGTCCAGGGAGGCAGAGATAAAGTGCCCACCCACTGCCATTCCAACTCATAGTGACCCTAAAGGACAGAGTAGAACAATCTCACAGGATTTCCAAAGACAGATGCAGACTGCCTCATCTTTCTCCCACTCAGGTTCAAGCCACCAACCTTCTGGTTAGCAGCCAAATGCTTTAACCACTGCAATGCCAGAGCTCCCTGAGATAAAGTGCAGTGGGAGCTTAAATGTCCAGAATGGCTCCAGCTAGGGAACCAGGGAAGACTTCCTGACGGAAGGAGTATTAGATCTAGGTCTTGAAAGGATGGGTTGAATTTGGAGATATAAGGGGGGTGGGAAAGGGAGGTGGGAGGAGAAGGACTGGCCTAAAACAGTAAAGCAGAATCAGTGAAAGGTTCATTTGGCTCCAAGAGCAGCTTCTGAACCCAAACCCCAGGCCAAACTCTGGAGAGCAAACTGGCAGCATTTATATCTTCTACAATGCCAAACATTTCCTTCTGAGATCTTCCTCCCGCCAGCCTCCCTGGGCAGGAAAATATACAAACAGCAGGCTTTCTGGAGCCCCCGCCCTAGGCACTTGCTGGGAAAAAGGCTCTTCTCCAACAGGCCCTGGATCCCACTAGCCTGGGCTCTCTTTCTAGGCACAGAGAACAGTTTCTTTGTTTGACTGATGACCCTGGCAGGCAGACATTGAGTTGGTTTGAGTGGAAATGTTCCTGGGATGCTGTCTGGGAGGAAACAGGCTTATAACGTTTTCCTTGCAAAGGTTGAGCTTCTTCTAATACTAATATTTGTTTTTGGGCTGTTGTCAAATACAAAATGGATCAGTGGAAGAAGGAGTTGTAGTTCAGGGTGATTTACGTGGTGGCTCTTTATGGGCTGACAGTAAATTGTGGCTGTCTGCTCCCTGAAACTATCTAGATTCCTACACAACCCTGCTCAGAGACCCTGGGTGGATTCTTTCAGGAGGCTTGGGTTTCAAGAAAACTTTTGTTGACGATACTCCAGAGCCCCAATGTGCACAATTTTATGTCTTTTTGATTTAGGGGTCAATGAGAGTTTGTAAGTGAGTATGGGGCAGACATTGGCATAATTATTACTGGAAGGACGAGAAGACCAGTGTCTGATAAATCCCAAAGTGTAGCTGATCATTCCCTCCACAGGAAGGAGACAAGGCTCACTAGTCTGCAAGCTTTAGTGGAGATGCAGGCAGAGATATGGGATTCTTTCCTGGCCATCCTTCATCCTTAGAATTATGGTGACACCCATCACACATCATCATGACTGCTCTGAAGAGCATGAAATAAACACTACAGAGACCATTGCTCCTTGCAGTTATAAGTACTGGGTTGAAGATTATCAGAACCCTTGGCTCTGCCCACTACTGGTATTCTTTAATGTGCCAAGGCTCACTGTCCTTATCTATAGAATGGCTGTAAAGATGTCTTGAGTAGTGAGTGAAAACACTTTGTAAACTGACACATTATGGAGCTTGTCACTATTATCTGACACTTGGGCCCCCAATGACAGTCTGCCAGACCACAGCAGAACTGCATTCCCACTCTATCCCAATATATGGAATGTGGGCATTTCCTCAGTCAAAGCATCTGTTTAGGGGGCACTTTACATTCGTCATACGTTGCTGTTCTGTCTTTGCCCCCAGCTTCTGCCTGATGTCTCATCTTGTGCCATGACGTATATCCCTATGGGTCATACCATCTGCCTCTTGTCCAACATGCTTGTTTTCACATTCCAATCCTGACAAACAGCCACACAGACAAGCGTACTTTTCACAACCTTTGAACCACAAAGATCTCTTTCTTTCCTCTCAGGGAGTTATGTGGAGTCTTTCCTTCCTTCTTTCCTTTCTCCTGATTCCATAACCTTGAAAGATCCTGTGATTTTGAGAGGAAGACCCACGTTCCTCTGTGTAAGAAAATATTCTGACAAGTGAAAAACAAGTGACTTTCTCTTTGGTAATGAACAAAGAAACAGTTGCCCTGTTTTTTTTTTTTTTTTTTTAAACAAAAACACTTCAGCAAGGACTGGGCTCCTGCCACAACCCCGGGCAGGAGGGGAGGCTCAGCATCCTACCTGAGATAAGACGTTCTCCTGGTTGTCCGCCTCGTTTTGCAGAGTCTCATCTTCCGTGGGCACCACCGTCTGCATGTCTGGGGGCTCGCTCGTCCCTGTGGGGGGAATACTGGGTTCCCAGCCCCTCGTCACAACCAGAGCAAAGCAGAGAACCAGAAGCAGAGGCTTGGCCATGAGGGACGCCACAAGAGGGGTCTCGGCCCCTTCTGAGAACGGCTGGAAAAGCAGTGTCTCTGCAAGGATTGAGGCGAGAGAATGTCTTGGCTGGACCCTGAGGTCAGCTGCTCAGAGCACTTTCCAGAGTTGAGTGCAGATGAGCGGGGCAGGATGGTGTGCCCCAGAAACCCTGGGCATCGCCTGCCCGACGCGAGCACCTCTCGATTGTGCAGCCTCAGTGGAGAGCAGGGCGCGGGGCAGAAAGAGGTGAAGGGGAAAAGTGGAAGCGGCCACCCGCGAACCGAGCGCCTGCACCGCAAGAGAGCGCTCAGGTGGAAGGGGCCGGGCGGAGGCGGCGGGGAGCCTAGGAACGCACGGGGACTGGGCACAGGGCGTCGGACGCGGGACCCACGGCGGCAACGGCGCAGGCGGCGAGCGGCTGGACAAGGGCGCCGCGGAGCGCTCGCGTGGAGGGAGGGGCGGAGCCTCTATTGTGCCGGGGCCGCGGAGATGCAGCCAGTGACGGCGCGGAGGAGGAGGACCTGGAAGCGCGCAGGGGCTCGGGCGGCCCACCCCGCCCCTCACTCAGGTTCGGCCGCCGCGCACGCCCGCGAGGGGTGACGTCGGACTGGCTCCCCTGTCCTTTCAGCTGATTACAAATGGTCAAGGGTGAGAAGTTACCCCCAGTGGGGCTTCTGCAGTTTGGAGATTCCTTGTGCTCATCCTTGCCAAGAGGAATGTTTACTCTGAATTGTGAGGCAGGCGCTTTGACTCGCTCCAAGTCTCAGCTTATACCGACCCTCAGTATCCCCCCCCCCTTTGTTGCACCTGAAGCAGGAGAGAAGGAGCCTTTGCTCTTCTTGGGGGGGGTTTCTTTTCCCTCACTTGCTCTCTGGCAGCTTTGAACTTAGCGCCATTGGTAATTTCCTTCCTCTGCCACAGCCTTAGAACCTGGTAATACCTCCACCCAGAGGATAACTATTGAACTTCCCTGCTGTAGTGTGTCCTGAGTTGTCTAAATATTAAATATAAGGAGCATAGCTGTAAATCTCTGACACTGTTTGCATGTCCGGATGGGTGAAGCTGCTTGCTACTTCGAGAATCAAATTATTGAACGGCTCTTATTATCTTCATGGTTTGGGATAAGTCTTAGGGTCTCCATCACTAGATCAGCTCTAACAGTCTTGGTTTATGTTTGATGTTTGTTAATTAGTGATGCTTTTGTAGACCTACTGTGAAGATTTAACAATTTGAATGTGAGGAAAGGCACTGTGCCTTCCAGGGCAACTCTCACCTTGGGAATATGGAACAGATGCAAGGCCCCTCCAAAGACCGGAAATGTATCCTGTATCCTTGGAATTTGAGCACCTTTCCTCTTACGATAGGGTATAAAGACTATAATAATCAAAGGACATTTCAGCTCATACAAATTATGGTATTTGACAGAAGTATAATAACCCTTATTAATGCATTTCTAATATGTTTTTAAATCCCAGTTTTCAGACAAGTTTCTGGGTGTCAGGGCTTGAGGAAATGTCACATACACACACACACACACACACACACCACACCCCTAGACCTCTATATAAACTGTCAAATCTCCTCTGGAGTAGGTGGAAGCAAATATCTATAAAGTGCAGTTTAAAAATTCAATTAAAATAAATGCTGGTGTTGGCTAAGTGCAAGACAATAAAGTAGGATCCTAGACATTTAATAATAAGGAGCTCTGGTGGTGCAGTGCCTAAGACATTTTGATAGCTAACTAAAAGGTTGACAGTTCAAACCCACCAGCCACTCTGTGGAAGGAAGATGAGGCAATCTACTTCCAGAAAGATTTACCACCTTGGAAACCCGGTGGGGGTTGCCATGAGTCAGAATCAAATCAGTGGCAGTGGGTTTGGGTGTTTTTTGGCAGAGATTTAATGGAAAGGTAAGATAGTTTATATCTTCCAGAATTTCTGGGTGGAGGAGGGATTCAGGAGGTAAGTGGATTACAAAGCAGAGTAAGAAGATATCCATTCAATGGGGCTTAAAAGGTGACTAGGTCATGTCTTGGGAACGCTGGTAGCATAGTGCCTAAGGCACTTGACTGCTAACCAGAAGGCTGGCAGTTCAAATTCACCAGCCGCTCCTCGGAAGGAAGGTTGGGTAATCTACTTCCATAGTGATACTGCCTCAGAAACCCAAGAAAGGGTCACTATGAATCAATCGAGTCAGACTCAACGGCAAACAATAACAGATCATGTCTTACTGAAAGGACAGTAAGAATTTCATGCAACAGTGGGGATGGGACAGGGATAATGGGAAGATTTCAACAAAACAGTGACATATGCAGAAGGAGTGAGGACATGATGGGCTGAGACATGAGCCTTAATGTGCAGATGCAGATCTCAGCCTGGTATTCACTTCTCAGGGAAGACTTCCCTGACTTAGCAGCAGGGTAGTTCCTCGGTTATATGTTATATATACATAGCACTATGTACCTCTTCTTCACAGAATTACGGGAGTTATATCTTTTTATATTCCTTTGTGGATTGTTTCACCAGTGCCTGTCTTTCTCACTAAATTGTAAACTCCATATGAGCAGGGACTTTGGTTTTATTCACCATTATATCCAGTGTCTGACACAAAGTAGACACCCAATATATATTGCCTGAATGAATGGGAAGTATGAATAGTCCCATTTTACTAGATAATGGGGTATTAATAATAATAAGTGCTGGGAAATAAGACTAGAAAGGAAGGTAAGTCTTGGATGTACTCTCAATTATCTTCATAAGTACACTATTTGTATCCTTTGGCTGAAAGCAGAGAATACCAGAAAGGTGTTATTGCATGCAAAAGAATTCAGCTTTAAAAAAAAAGAAAAGAAAATTCAGTTTTGTGAATCATAAAAAATTATGGATAACATTGCAACAAATAGGAATTCAAGAGTATTTAATTATGCTCATGTAGATCCTGTACATAGGCCAATAGGCAGTCTTTTGAATAGAACAGGGATACTGCATGGTTTAAAATCAGGAAAGGTGTGCATGAGGGTTGTATCCTTTCACCATACTTATTAAATCTGTATGCTGAGCAAATGATCTGAGAAGATGGACTATATGAAGAATGTGGCCTCAGAATTAGAGGAAGACTCATTAACAATCTGTGATATGCAGATGACACAGCCTTGCTTGGTAATTGAAGAACACTTGAAACACTTACTGATGAAGATCAAAGACTACAGCATTTAGTTTGAATTATACCTAAATATTAAAAAAAAAAAAAATCCTCACAACTGGACCAATAAACTACATCATGATAATCAGAGAAAAGATTGATGTTGTCAAGGATTTCATTTTACTTGGATACACAATCAATGCCCATGGAAGCAGCAGTCAAGAAATCAAATGACATACTGCATTGGGCAAATCTGTTGAAAAACACCCTTGGAAAGTGTTAAAAAGCAAAGATACCACTTTGAGGACTAAGGTGTACCTGACCCAAGTGATTAGTATTTTCAGTCGTCTCATATGCATGTGAAAGCTGGACAACGAATAAGGAAGACCAAAGATGTCTTTGGATTGTGATATTGGTGAAGAATATAAAATGTACCATTGAGTGCCAGAAGAATGAACAAATCTGTCCTGGAAGAAGTACAGCCAGAAAGCTCCTTGGATGTGAGGATGGCAAGACTGTATTTCATGTACTTTGGACGGGTCTCTGGAGTTCATACACATTTTGTTTTTGACACTGGTTACATTACCACAATGTAACAGTTCACCTCCCACTTCTTCCTTGTAGTTACCCTTTCCTTGTGTCCTTCCTGTCTATGCATTCTTTTCTCCCTCCCTTTCTCCCTGTGCAAATGCTGCCCTTCTGATCTCCCATAGTGGATTATCCTTGCAATATATCTCCTTTTAAAGTCTGTTAATAGATCATTCCTATGGTGCTACACAGATGATGTCTACGATCTTTCCCACAAGAGGGTTTTTCTCTACTTATCAACAGATAGAAAGAAGAGACCCTTTAAATCTTCCCCTTACTAAGTTTCCTCTTTTTCAAGTTTACTGTGCATACTTCTTTCACCTTTTCTCTCCACTTTATTCGTCTAAAGGAGATTTGGTGGTGCAGTGCCTAAGGCATTTGACTGCTAACCAGAAGGTTTGCAGTTCAAATCCACTAGCTGCTCTGTGGAAGGAAGATGGGGCAATCTACTTCCGTAAAGATTTACTGCCTTGAAAACCCAGTGGGGGTCGCTATGAGTTGGAATCTACTCGATGGCAGTAGATTTGGTTTGGTTTTGGGTTATTCACCTATTTCTCAGACCCAATGGCCTCCCCAAACCTTCATTATTTTGGTTATTTTTTCTCTAGAAAGGCTCCAGTTTGAGTAGATGTTAGAGCATGCTGGAATCATTTCTTCTCTTTTTCTGGGCACTGTTCTTTTATTAATGAATCATAAGACAGCCTTAGCTTTTTTGGCAGTCACATTGCATGCACCAATGATTCATATTTATTTATTTTTTATGTAATTTTTTTTCCTTTTTCTTTTCTTTTGTACATGAACTGTTATGCTTATTTCCTCCATCCTGTGCTTTCCAGCTATGGCTTTTTTTTTTTTTTTTTTTTTTTTTTAGCCCAAATATAGGCCTTTACATGTTCAATTTACTGAGTATGATAATGTCTTTGGCTTATATTTCCATCCTTTTGAAATCCTGCTGTTTTGGTCTCATCTCAGTTCTGGGTCATTTCCAAATTCAATAAGCACATTTTCTGTGTTAATTTTAGAAAAAAGTCATATTGATCAGGACAGGGCCAGATCTCAGAGCTCTACATTCATAATAGGAAAAGTTTGTGCTTACTGAGATTGATCCACTGCTTAATCCTTTTGGTGTGTCATTTTTCAGGCAGTTAATGGCAGTAGTGCCCAGCCCACACATCTTCCTCATATGTGTAAGAGACTTTTTTTTTTTTTTTTAATTGTGATTTGGGTGAAGATTTACAGAGTGAATTCACTTTCCATACAGCAGTTCA